CATGAAAAAAAAAACTTACTTCAAGAAGGTGGAATGCCGCAACCACATACGCGTCATACAGCCGATGGACTCTGGGGCGCGCTTATATGTATGCGGCACGAATGCGCACAATCCAAAAGACTACGTGATAAATGTGAGTATACATAGATAATGGGCGACCATGAATTACACATTGTACATACATATATATGAATGTCCTTAAGTATGTATATCTATATATCGAAACAATTTAACTATTTCCTTGGATATTGTTGCTGTGGCCTTCTGTTTGTTGGAAAAGCTGTGTAATTTCGGTTATTTGGCTTGTTGTTATTTTATTGAGGCTTTTGGTTAGCCTTGGATAGCCACAACTGCCCCACTCACACATACATATGCATGTACGCAAGTATTATGGTGGAAGTATGTGTGCGTGTGTGATATACGCCTTGCTTTAGGTTGCTTTACATGGTTGCCACACTGATATTTGCACATTTCGGTCGCATTCGAGCCAAACTAATGTGCGGTGGGGGCCCGGAATTTCCACTGCTGCTGCTGCATCTCCTACCTTCCTCCAAATACAAATACACCATTTATAGCATTTCTGGTTCTGGCGTGGTAGTAGTTTGTGTAATAAATGAGCTTAAATAAACCGGGATTAGTTTGTTGCGCCACAAAGCAGTGTCAGCTACCGACCAACTGACAAATACAGATACTGACAAACTTTGAACTCACACTCTATACATAAACATGTATGTATGTTTGTATAGCAGCCTAGCGCGTGTGAACATTGCTTCGAGATTAGTTGGGTGGTCAGGACCATGACAACATTTAGCATTAAATTAAAGTCACTATGTGGCAAATGTCTTCGATTTAATTGCGTTCAACGGAAATTTATTTTATGCTCCTTAGCTTTGTTCAATTGTATGCAAAGTGGAAATCTGTGGCAATATTTCACTCTTGGTTGTTAAGTAAGTGTGGTAAGAGATTATTTTCTTAGAAATCGGAAGCATATTTAAGCAATTGTGGATATTTTTATGTAATTTTGAAAGATTTCTAACAGAAAACATTAAAAATTTAATACGATTTGGAAAATATAATCGAATTTTGAAAAATTAATTGTTTTGAAATTTGAGAAGCTTTAACATTCTCACTAACCTATAGGTATGAGCCAATTTTCACCCCAAAACTTTGCAAACTGGTTTTCTCCTGTGCAAATCTGCGCCAGTTTTGTACGCCAAGTTTAGGCAGGTCCGCCGTACATGAATGCCGAGTTCAAGGAAATTTTTTTACCGGAACATGTTCGAGCTAGCGCCATCGTTTTATTAGTGGTAATCTACATTCTACCATTACAAAACATATACTGTTCATAACCCACTTTGATGTGTGATGTACATATACCTATAACTGTAAAAAAAACACGCCTAATACTCGATTGAAAGTAATTACTCTGCAAACCATTTTTTCAGAGTATTCTGCATTGTAAAGAAATTTTAAAGAATTCGTTAAGATTTAATTCGGTTTTTTGCCGAATTTTCTAAAATGAAATAAATTACGCACACTTCCATTCGTTTACGAAATTTCGGAAGAAAATCTGTGAAGCAACGAAATTACTGCTGCTATGTGAAGAATATCTTTCAAAATTTTTCCAGAATTTTCTTTATTTTTCGTACAGAAATTTCTTTACGAGTTCGTGTCAACCACTTCATAAAATTTTCTTTGAAAATTCGTAAAAAAATCGTTACAGAAAGGAGATACTCCTAACGATTTCCTTAAGATTTCGGGAACATTGGTTTGCAGGGTAGCCTCAAATCCACTTCCTGTAAGGCAAAATTCTCATTTGAACTGCCTTAAAAATAACTAAAACATTAAAGTTGACTTTAAAGTTTTACTTAGGAAAACCAAATATAATGGGCGTGTAGTTTAAATTAACCACTAAACTTTTAAAGGGCTCACTAAAGTTTGTTTGCGAAACTTTGCCTTAAGGACACCTTTCGCATAAGAGATTTGACATGTTCGCTTTTATCGATTCCCTTGTCAGTGCGTAATTGCTGCTGTCAGTTGTGTTAACCTTTAACTTAATTTTTGCAAGCAGCCACCTAAAGCCACAGCAACAATAACAACAATTCGAAAACCCGAAATTCCAACAAAATAAGAACGCAGCTAAATACCAAACTACAAACTGATTTTCCTTTTGCTCCCTTTTTCGCATTTAAGTATATTCGGTACTTACACCAACTAACTGAAGCGTTTACTTTGTTTTTCTTTGCTGGTGCGACACCCGCTTCACCAAAACTCATCGACTACAACTCAACATCACTGAAATTGCTGACGACGACGACGATATGGAACAACAATGTCGCATGACAAACACACACACTTACAAATACTATTTTGCCTACAGGCGAACTTAACACATTTACCCAGATCCGAGTACGTGCCTGGCATTGGCTTAGGCATCGGCAAGTGCCCCTACGATCCCGCCGATAACTCCACAGCCGTTTATGTGGAGAAAGGAAATCCCTTTGGATTACCAGCGCTGGTAAGTAGAGGCAAAAAAAAAAAACAACAAAGAATTGAAAATAAAAAGGAACGAAATTCAAAAAGAGGCATGCGAAAAAGTTTGAATGCAAAGAGGTGGCGAAGGTGTTTTGGCAAGGCAGTCAAATAAAAGTACACACTGGCACATATTTGTTGTTTGTTAGTTTATACGCGAGAGTGTAAGATTAACTCTGTTGTAGCTGCAACAAATACTACAATAAAATTGGGGAAAATGCTGTTAAAGTAAAAGAATGAGCGAACAAAAAAGAAGCAAACAAAAGGCGACTTTGGAAAAATGTCAATTGTAATAAAATTTGTTAAAGAAGGCCAGCACAAAATGCGGCTTTCTCTGGCCGTGTCCTCTGCCACAGGCCGCTGCGGCAACGGTAACCATTTCCGGCACGCGCATGCCCGCACACCTCAAAGTCGCCTTGGTGAAAGGACTTTAAAATGTGTCGAGGAGAAATGTACGAGCGAATTAAATTATACGCCCACAAAGAACGGAAGCGAAAAAGGTAGAAAGCTACTATGTTTTTTTTTCAACAATACTTCTCTCCACCACTATTTATTTTCTTTTACACGTTTTATAATAGTTTTGGCAGTGGCCATGGCTGCGCTACCAGAACAAAAGTGGTACAATCAGTAAAAATAAAAACAAAAAATAAAAATGGCGATTTCGAGGAAAATAAAATCAGCCAAAGCGCAATAATACTATTGACATTGCCGCAATGGCGAATTCGCATTCAGCCAAAATGGCGTGCTAATTTTACACTTTACTGCCTTGCCTTGACACCGAGCCGAGCCGGGCCGGGCCGAGCCAAACGGTTGTTGGCTGGCCTGCTGCTGTTGCCGTTGTGTGAATTATCCTTCTGCTTCTTCTTCTTTTTGCATTTTTCTATTATTACTGTTTTTTTTTTGTTGTATTTTTGGTTTTTGTTGTAAGTTACTATTGTATTAGCACTAATGCGCATGTTTTTTCCACTTGCTTGTTTTTCTCGCCTCCCCCCCGCCCCTTTCTTTTTTTTCATTCTCTTTGCAGTATTCCGGCACAAATGCTGAATTTACCAAGGCTGATTCGGTTATATTCCGCTCGGATTTGTATAATTTAACATCCGGTCGGAAGGAGCACAATTTCAAGCGCACCGTGAAATATGATTCCAAATGGCTTGATAGTAAGTATAAAAATTTTGTAAACTCGTAGATAGATATATATACACACGTACATACATATCCTTCTATGCATTAAGACACATTTTTGACTCTCCTAAATATTACCGTTTCTTGGTTTACTGTTTAATGGGTTAGAAGTTATAGGTGCATAGGCGACATAAGGTGGCATAGTAATTTACTAGGCGATTGTCATTGACACCTGGGAATTGTGCTGGTAGCTAGATGCAAGGAATAGTGGAGTGAGGATGGTGGAGCTTTAATACATGCCGTATATATGGAGTTAATTTTTGAAATTTAAAAGTGAACGAATTAATAGGAAAGAAGCTAAGAAGTATACTGTTCTGTTTTTGACTGCTTTAGAGCTAGTGGAGGACTAATCAAATGCGTGCTGGTAGGCTTTTGAGAGAGTAAATACCAAATATTGAGGAGAATCAGTTTCACTAGGTGAAGATCTCCCATTTCGAAGGTCACAGGGTCACGGAACACTTTGTAGTACTATACTTAGATATGTACGTATTCAAAACGCAATCGCGTAAGAGGATCTATATCAGGGTTAACTTGGGTTTTTCTTATATTCTTGGAACAATTATACCCGCAATCGACTACCAGCTAAGATTTTGCCTAGCGCTCGCCGAGCCTCCTAAAAGTCCATCTGTTCACAAGAACTTTCATTCACTCCGTGTAAAGAGTGATAACCTCAAAGGGTTCAACAGCCATGCAATTTTCTGCAATGCTACTGTGGAACTAAAATTAGGCGACCAAGAGCGATGTGTGACACTCATAAACCTAAATCGATCTAATTTGAAGCGATCCTAGACCTCTAATCTGTTAGAAAAAAAAATTCATTCCAATGTAGACAAAGAGTATGGGCAGCAAATGAAAGAGAAAATTCTGTAGAATTAAAAACAAAAATAAAATTTATTGATCCTTTTAATTAGTTTTATTTTTTTAAGCGAATAAAGTTAGAAGGACGAAGTTCGAGGATGCGGACGAGTCCATATTCGTCCTTAACATATACATTTTTAGAAAATAATTATTGTAAAATTGCAAGGATATTCAATGATAAAATATGAAAAGGACATTTTGAATACCTAATCGTCCTTATGCACCAAAAAATTTTATCGGCTTTAATTCTATAGAACTTTCTTTTTAATTTGATAATCATACGGTTTTTCTGCATTGCCATTAATTTATTTTAATAATATTTTCAAATTTTAAAGTCCTTAAAAAAAATCCTGACGTCAGAGAGAAAAACTAAAAAGGCAGTTTTACTATGCTTTGCCCATAGTTTCGCGAATATATAAAATTTTTTGTGTGTGAAATGAACGGTGTTATACAATAAAGGCAGCTAATTATATATCGATAATAATGTTGTACTTCGGCAATTAAAAAAAAAATCGTAGGAATCGTGCATGTTTCCTTAGATGGTATATGAGAAGTTAAAAAATGGCACGAGTTTTGAAAAAAACCAATTCAGAAAAAAACTTGTTTAAGGAAATAGACACCGCTCTTTTGCCTTGTCTTTGGAGTAACAAAGAACGAGAAGCGCTTTAGATAGTGAAGACGTAACTGTGACGAGATTTGCCAAATACTCAAACCAGATTCTTGTTGCTGGTATTTCAAACATCAAATTCCAGAGTCTTTAGTGATTGAAAATCGAATTTTGAGGTCACCTGTCGGAGTTCTATTTTCGTATGTGTAGAAGCCTAGACGGTGAGAGAAGGAAAACCCCGAAAGAAAAACAATTGTAATACTAACTAGCTAACAGAATTGAGGGGTTTTATAGCTATGTAGGAGCAGAGGAAAAATTCTACTTTATTGCAATAAAATGTTTGATAAAATCTATAGGTGTTTAGTTAAAAACCTGTGTACTTTAATTACAAACAAAATGCGTATTATTTACAAAACTTGTCAAATCACTTTTCCATTTACTTAACACGTTCTATTTCTCTTCTCTTTTTTATCGAATACAGAACCGAATTTCGTTGGCTCCTTCGACGTTGACGAATATGTTTACTTCTTTTTCCGTGAACATGCCGTCGAGTATATTAATTGCGGCAAAGCTATCTATTCGCGTATAGCACGCGTCTGCAAGAATGATCGTGGTGGCAAATATATGATCAGCCAAAATTGGGCGACCTACCTGAAGGCGCGCATCAATTGCAGCATCTCGAGCGAATTCCCATTTTACTTCAATGAAATACAATCGGTCTATAAAATGCCAACAGATGACACCAAATTCTATGCCACCTTCACGACGAACACGCATGGCATTGTCGGTTCGGCGGTATGTAGCTACGATATACGCGACATCAATGCAGCCTTCGAAGGTGAGTAGAATTGCAAATGCGAGATGTACATATATATGTATGTGCCTATGTGCATAGATAAGTGTGGGTGGCTAAAATTCTAAATTGTGGCAAAGTGCGCGGAGTAGAAAGGGGCGTACGAGGTGTCTGCTGCCGGTAGCAATCTTTCGTTTTTTTCGCATATCTCTGAAATTTTTTTGTAATCTTTTTTAGAATTTCTTTTCTTGTTTTTTTTTGTGCGCTCGCATAGATTTATTGCACCGGCAATTATTCTTGCCTTTCCAGTGCGCTTGAATTGGCGTCTGTGTGTGTTGATATGTACATATCGATTTAGGGGTATGAGCGCTACAAAGGCATACATATGTATTTGTCTGTCGCGCTGCCGTGGGGCTCAAACACCTATACATACATACTGTTTACATATGTAAGTTAAATGCATAGGTGATTTTATGCTTTAGTGTATGTAAGCATATACATACATACATACATACGAAGCCCTTAGATACATATATCAGACGGAAATTGCATTAGGAAAATTGATAGGATTCCTAACCGAATTAAAAAGGAATTTGAGATAAATTTCAAATATGTGCAAACGAAATTTTTATTGAAATTAAAAATCAACTTTCAGTCAGTGAAAAATGGAACGTAAGATTTTTTACGTTATTAACGCAAATTTAAATTTAAAGCGGGAACAATATGTATCTAATAATTTCATTAAATTTATACTTATCTTTATATGCATTAACTATGTAGAATGTACATTAGACTGCAACAAAATATTAGTCTTTTAAGACTTGCACCAAAATATTTCGGAAAAAATTTAAGAACTGAAAATTAAAAATTCGATCTCAGTGAAAATTTAATTGTTTCACTTTATCGTTTCGTTATATTATTTTAAGCGATTCCTGATCATTAAAGGCTATTCCATTAACATCTAGCAACTAATTATTTGGTAAATTTTTATGAGTTTAATACAATTATATTCCTTATCACAAGATGATTGTTTTGAGAAAATGCCGAACTTTTCTTTTTCACAGCCACAAAACTTTGTGAAAAAAAATTTTCACAGTGAAAAATTTTGACAAATTAATTTCTTTACTTTGGAAAATAGAATCGTGTTTTTATGTCATGTGATGGAAAATGTTTTACTTCTCGCTTTCACATAACGGGAATTGGTCCCCTGGGCCGATTAGAAAATACCTACAAAAATTTAATTTTTTATGAATAAAAGTAGTTATTTAAAATGTTTTATGAAAAAAATCCCCTCAGTTGACAAAACAAACTGTTTAAAGCTTCAAAAAATTGCATACAAATATTTACAAAATATACATTACTATGCCATATTTGGTAAGCTTTTATCAAAATGCCAGAAAACAAACCTTTTTTAAAAACTTACATACATACATTGGCATAGATAAAAATACTGTTATTACTTTTGGTATATCATATAGATACATTTGTATTTATTGGGGTGATAATCCAGGTTTTCCTCAAACCGGTTTTCACCGGTTTTTGTAAATCTTTTTTAATATTCAGCCTCAGCATGAGTTTCATTTTTCCCGAACCGGTTAACTTTTCACTTTTGATTTCTATGGCTTTACTATGGGCGAATGACAAATTTTCGGGTAAAAAATCAATTATTCTTTGATCAAACTAAACACGTGTAAAAGCTACATTACGCTAGCTTAGAGTGAACAGTTGCTAAGTCCCTATTTGAAAATTGTACAGGAGAGGAAAAAAACT